TACTCAGCTGCTGATGGGCTGTTTTGCCAGGCCTCTTGTGCCAAGGGGGCTCATGGCACAGCAAAGGGAGCTACAAGCATTCCCCACGTGCTCCATCCGCAGGTTTGGGCATAACCCTTTTTCCCTCTGCACCTTCTGGGTTGTTGCTGCTTTGCCAGTCCTGCTTTGTGAGGCTGGGGCAGCTGGGTTGGAATGAGATGTACTCTTGCTTCAGGAGGTTCCAACCTGTTTTGATGCTGAAGCAAGGTCACCTCTTCCTTGCCTCATTTCGCCAGAGCAGCTCCACATGGGATGAGCCTCAGGAAGGCTGCAGAGAGGGTGGCTGCATCTCCCTTCCCTGGCAGCTTCTCTGGGCTCTGATGTCTCTGACTTTACTCCGTGCTCTCATCCCCTGGGGTTTTACACCTCCTCACTCCGACCTCAATTCATATTTTTTTTCTTTAATGTTGCTTTTAGAAGCTCAATAGAAGGATGCTCTTAAAAATCATTAGATTGGAAAAAAGGATTCTTGTTTGGCCCCCGTGCTGGGTGGAGGTGGGGAAGGGGCTGGCACGAATGCACTGTGTGACCATAGAATTATCCTTCAAAGCAAGCAGATGGCTTAGTCTCAGTAAACCCCTCAGAGAAATTCACGGAGGTCTTTGAGGTTTCAGTTTGCTTCATATTTTCTCCAGGGACTGTGGAAGGAGGAGAGAAGGGGCTGCTCTGAGCTGAGGAGCCAGGCAGCTGAAAGCGGGTCCATCCGCTGACAGCACTTTTCTTGGTCCCTGTCAACAAAATCCATCTTATCTTAGCAAAATTCATCTCATAGCAAAAAGGGGGCTTGCACTGTTCCCCCAGCCCAACATGTCACTCCTGTGGGGTCTGTGGGATGGTGACATGGGGCAGCAGCACTTGTGCAGGAGGAGGAGAGAGCATCTTCATCACCCTGCAGGTTATTAAAGTGCCCTGGGACCATGGGGCATTCACGTGGCAGTGCCACAGCCCTGGAGATGCTGGGTCAGTCAGGGAGCTGTGGTTCAGGCCCTTGGGTGAAACATGGCTTTTCTGGCACTGCAGTGATGCTGGGGTGGCATGACAGCTGGCATGCCGGGAGGGTGCAGTGTGAGGGCTGCCATTCTGTGGCTGTGGGGAGGCTGTGTCTTTCCTCTCTCCATCCCTGGCTTCCAGCACATCACCCTGCCTGTCTCTGCTATTTTTCCATTTTCCTTGTCTCACCCATGGATGGGTCAAAGCACCAAGACAGCCCAGCTCTCTGATGTTCATCTGAGGGAGCTTCTGCCCTTTCCTGAGCTCCTCTGTGGTAAGGGGTTGCATGCGAATAATGCACAGCTCCTGAAAATGCTCTGGCTTCAACCTTGCAGTGATGTGATCAGCAGAGCAGGTGATGCAGCAAACTCAGTGTCATGGGACTGTTTGGTCCCCACCTGCCTTGGGGAATAGCTGTGCACCAAGAGCAAGGGACTGTCACACCATCTTGTGTTCCTGGTAGCTCCAGGGTCAACCTTCTTTTTTAATTGCCTGTGAGCTCCTTTGTTCTCTGCTTCATAGGCATCCAGCTCAACTTTATTAGAAAACCTGTGTTTCTGAAGAGTGCAGCTCTTAAAGTGAGAAGTATGGTTCACAATAAAGTTTGAGCTCTACCTACAAGCATGGTTTATCAGGCTCTGAAGCACAAGCTTGAAGGAATAGGCAATAACTCACCCCCCCTTGTTAAGATAGCAGAAAGAACGAGCTGTTACGTACAGAGCTAAAAATAATTTTGAAGCTTTGAGTCTTCCTCCCAGTTGCAGCAGAAGGGATGCTCGAAGCACTGGTGGCCAAATCCATCTCTGGCACAGCTCCGACTTGATGATGCATTAAAGCTTTTTTGTGACTTTTTGAAGCTCAGCTCAGATAAACCCAGAGCAGTGTGGCTGCTTTTGTGGAGCTGCCGTGATACCTAACTTGGATGAGAGTGGCTTGGGGCTAACCCCAAAGCTGGTGTTCCCAACAGGGACAGCACCTTTTTCAGTAGAATTTTAACAGGGAAACTTAAGAAGGGGAGAAACACACAAAGTAGCTGAGATTGGCCCAGCAGCTGGCAAAGCATCTCACTGTAAGTTTTGTCTGGAAAGCAGGATTCATCTGGGAAATAAGGAAATGGTATAAATAAGAAGTGCAGCCGTGGACCTATTTGCAGGGAGCCGGGCTCAGGCCAGGTAGGATATGGATTCCATCTGGGGTGTGCTGTAAGTATCCCTGCTGATGGCCTGGATTCCTGAGCACAGGGTGCTGGAGGGAGCCCAGCCACCACCACACTCTCTGCAGAGTCCAGGAGCGTTGCTGTTCAGCCTCCTTTCCCCGCTCTCCCTGCAGCATTTTCCCGTGACAGGAGCTGATGGAGGTATCTGCCCAGCTGAGCCTGCTGGCCACCTGGGAGGATGGTGATCCGTTATGACACAGTTTCTCCCACCACCATACAAGTTTTAATTCATCCTTTTGTTTTTACAACAGCAGCCAAGGGAGGTGCTTTGTCACCGCCTGTGACCAAAGAGCAGAAGGGCAGCGCGGCTGAGGAGTTTGAGCTGTGATAAAACGCTCGCGGTATCGATCTTGGCTCAGGGTTTGTTTGCCTTCTTGCATTAACTCTCCATCGATCGCTGTGATGACCTTAGAGCACACAGTTTTGCTGGCCTTCTCCCTCAGCCAGCAGCACCCCAGTGCCTGCACCCTGCTCCCCTCCAAACTGCTGTTGGGCCAGGTTGGACGAGGTGCTCCAGGGTAAGCAGAGCTTTGCTTTTGCCTCCTCGGTCGTCAGAGATTTGTTGCTATAGTTAGTATGGAGGTTAGTGCTATAGGGCACTCACTTGGTGTGGCTTGAGGGTCAGGGCATTGTGTTAGTGCAGTATCCCAATAAACTGGACACAAGGTCATGGAGTCCTGACAGGAGTTAAAGAAGGGGCTTGAGGTTGCCCTGGAGATGCTTTGAAGGAGCCTGGTGCACAAGCATGACCAGGGGCAGCACCTTCTTGTTGGAGTGACTGGTTGGGGTGATGGAAGGCCCCTCCCCTTTCCAGGTTGGGTTCTCCAGCACTGCCAGAGTCCTGTGGACATGAGACAGGATGAAACCCTCCCCATCTTTGCAAGGGACAATGTGAGGTTGGCAGCTGCCGCTCAGCCGTGCGACATGAAAGTCACCTTTGTCCTTGCTCCTTCCTAACTCCAGCTCTCACTGTCGTATTGTTTAATGGTACTTGTGGGAGAAAGTACCTTCCACAGTGTAAACCTGTGTGCAAAGCTCTCGGAGCCAGGAGAGTGGCAGCAGCACCAGGGTGAGGATGGGGACAGGCATGGTGCTGAGTGCTGTGTCCCACTCCCTGAGCCTGAGGTGCCTCTGTGCCCGGCTGCTGGTGCTGTACAGAGCTCCCTCCCTTCACCTCGTTTTGCAAATTTATTGTACTTTAATTATTTATGACCTTGGATGCTCTAAGTGGAGAGAGGCATGGTCACTCTCCAGGTTTCCTTTTGACTGTGCTGTTGGGTGTTTGTGATTCGCTTTCTAGTCCACCCGGAGACAATTTTCTGTAAAACATTGACATCTAGTGGCTTTTCTGCCAAAGGAAACGATAGGGAACAAAAGATTGTCTGCGAGGTGGCCGCTCAGGAAAGCAAAGGAATGTCCATTCTGCTTCACCAAGGAGGTGGTGATGGCACCCCGGGGGTTCAGGGCTCCCAGCACATGTTCCTCAGTGTCCTCATCCTGGAGGAGTGGCCCAGTTTGCTTATTGAGCTACTTTAATTCCATTTGCTGAAGCAGATGGCAGGTGTCCTGGCAGTGTACCTCAGGTGTCATTGCTGAGTTTGTGGTCATATTAAAGGAGGTGTGAAGAGCTGGGTGTGCACAGCTTCAGGCTGCCAGGGGTGGAAAGCATAGCGTGTGATGGTGGCTATTAATGTCTGACCCACAGTGATCTTTTAATGGTGCACATAAGGTTGAGCTTTCAGCTTTTCCAGCTGGCTTTCCTCTGCAAGCAGCATGTCCCCCACGTGTGCCGCCCTCCTGTTGCTCCAAACCAAAGGCAGCACCTCCCTTAGGAATATTTTCTATTACAAAATGCTGCAATGCATCCTTGATTTCCAGGTCTTCATTTACCTCTGCTCTCTCATCCTTGTACTCCTGTGTCAGGTGAAGGCAGGAAGATAAAATGGGATTTGCATGGGCTTTTCCCAGATGCTCTCTGTAGTGCACGTGGGTTGGGCCTTCTGGGCACATGCCATTTATCTGGCCTGCAAAAGGAAGTGTCTTGTAGGAAGGGTCTTCCTCACAGGTGTGATGCTGCACTGGGGCTCCTGCAGCTGAGACCCACGGCTGCTCACCAGGAGAGGTGGCACGAGCAGCTTTTTGCAGACTGTGTAAATTTGTCAGTCCAGCTCGGTTGTATGGGAAATAAAATTAAAGAGCCAGTGCTACCCGTGCTGTCCTTGAGTTGAGGCTTTTCCCCTGGAACATCCTTTTGACTATTCTCCCAAGGTCTGGGGAGAGCATCGGTCGCTCCGATGTTGCCACGTGGGCAGCCACACACAGGGAGGTTGGGGGTTCCCTTCCCTCCCTGTAGAGGCCAAACCTGGCAAGTGCAGCCAGACATGTGCACGTAGGTCACAGAATCGTAGAATGGTTTGGGTTGGAAGACATCTTAAAAGATCATCTAGTTCCAACCCCCTGCCATGAGCAAGGACACCTCCCACTAGATCAGGTTGGTCAAGACCCCCATCCAACCTGGCCATGAACACCTGCAGGGAGGGGGCATCCACAACCTCCCTGGGCAACCTGTTTGAGCATCTCAGCACCCTCGCAGGCAAGAACTTTTTCCTGGGTATAACCCTTCCTGCTTCCCCTGGAGAGCTGGTTCAGCTGCCCTTCCCCCTGGCGAGGCGAGCAGGCAGAGGAGCACCCTGCCCCAGGCCTCCCGAGAGCCCCTCAAAAGCATCTCCCGAGTTTCTATCCATTTTGAACGTTAATGCGCCGTGTGCTGGGGGGGGCACAGGGGGGACTAAACACTCTGCCTTCCTCTCCCCTCGGCAGGAATTTCTACTACATCACCATCCTGCGTGACCCCGTCTCCCGATACCTGAGCGAATGGCGCCACGTCCAGCGAGGAGCCACGTGGAAGGCGTCCCTGCACGTCTGCGACGGCCGCTCCCCCACCACCGAGGAGCTGCCCAGCTGCTACACGGGGGACGACTGGTCGGGCTGTTCCCTGCAGGAGTTCATGGATTGCCCCTACAACCTCGCCAACAACCGCCAGGTCCGCATGCTCTCCGACCTCAGCCTGGTGGGATGCTACAACCTGTCGGTCATGCCCGAGGAGCAGAGAAACAAGGTTCTGCTGGACAGTGCCAAGGAGAACCTGAAGAGGATGGCCTTCTTTGGCCTGACCGAGTTCCAGCGGAAGACTCAGTATCTCTTTGAGAAGACTTTCAACATGAACTTCATCTCGCCCTTCACGCAGTACAACAGCACGAGGGCCTCCAGCGTGGAGATAGACGAGCAGACTCAGCGGCGCATCGAGGCCCTCAATTTTTTAGACATGGAGTTGTACGATTATGCAAAAGACCTGTTTTTGCAGAGGTACCAGTTCATGCGGCAGAAGGAGCACCAGGAGGCGCGGCGGAAGCGCCAGGAGCAGCGCAAGATCCTGAGGGCCAAGCACGGGCGCCTGAGGGAGCCGGGGGAGAACAGCTCCAGTTCTGACTACACAGGGAACGTGGAGCGGTGGCGGCGGTAGTGTGGGGAGGGGGACACCCCCTGAAAGCAGGACCCCCCCCACCCCTGGGAGGCAACGGAGCCGTCCACGCCAGCAACGCTCCTCGAGGGTTGGAAGCAAAAAGAGGTTAAAAATGTTGCCTTTGCGGTTGCCTTCGCAGTAAATGTTGTACTGTACGTGGAACACTTCATCTTAGCGTGTAATTAAATTGTCCTTTTTAGGTTGGATGGATTATTTATGAAATCCAGGAGCCGAGGAGGCTCATCGGAAATGGTTGCTTGGACGTTTATTTCAAAGGGGGGAAGGGGGGGAGGGAGGGGGGAAAAAAGATCCGTAAATTAGTTATGAGTACAAAATGGGATGCTGGAAAATGTTTATGATGCTCGGCTGAAATCTATCTGGGAAGCAAACTCATTTCCTAATAATGAGCATTTAGCATACTCTCATAATACAATATATGAGCAAAACCTTTTCCCTTTGATTTCATCTTAATTTCACTTTAATAATGTGTTGTCAAGGGCACTGACTGCTGATGATATTTACCAAGTTAATGAATGGACAACGGAGGGAACAATAAAGGTCTAGAAAGAAAGAAAAAAATATCGACTAGTTTTATGTATAATATTGGCTTTTAAAAGGAATAGAAGTGATTTCTCTAGCTATATAAAAATATTTAAAATTTTAAACTTTTTCTACCTACTGCTGTTTAGAGTTTTCAGCTTGGTCTAGCTCATATTTAAATAAAAAAAGACAAAAAAAAAAAGAAGACAGACACAGTGTTCTGAACTCAATGCTGATGTTAAAGACACTGTTTCCAGAATTTTTCAGGGCAGTATCAATATGATTTTAACCATTCTGGGAAAGTTACAGCACATCTTCACGTTTCATAAAGTCTTTTCCAAATTATATAGTCCTCTGACTGTCTAATTTTGAGTCTTTCTTGCCCGTTTACAGTACGTGATGCTAAACTGATCATTCCTTAATAATCAGGTGGTATAAACTAGATGAAATTACATTGCAGGTATTTGTGTGGTGTCTTTCAAAAGTCATAAATCTCTCTTAATCCCAGCAATATTACGGAGAGAATTGCTCAATGAAAGCAGTAGATTTACACTTGAATTAGGATTTGCTTCCAGTAAATCTTTGTTACACCAGATAAGAACAGGGCTGCTTTTGTGTTGTGGGTTGTTTTTTTCCCCATACACTCTCGAGCCCTTCCTAGCAATGATGGATGAGAGATGACTAAAAATGATGGAAACCAGTTTTACCATAGCCATAGTTAGAGAGGATGAGAAGGCTGCAAGGGGACACAGCAGCCCCTTCCCAAGCAGGCTCTGCTGGGCAGAGGGTGCAGAGCTGGAGCTGTGCTGGGCTCACCTGCACCCCCCCAGCCTCACCGGGACCTCACCAGGAGGAGAGACGGGGGCGGGAGGTGTGTGAGGGGCTCCATTCAATCTCTATGCAAAATAATAATAATAAATAAATAAAACACAAAAGGCAAGGCTCGGGGTGAACATTCAGCAAGTTCAGAAATGCTGCACGTGGCCTGCAGAGCTCCCGAGCATGGCACCAAAGGGTGCCCTCGGTGGGGGTGCCTGGTGCCAGAGACACCCCAAAAAGGGCCATTTTTGTCCCAGTGTTCACAGCGCTTACAAGGCTCACTTGCACTATTGCCTTTTGCCTGTAATATTCTGTACATCAAGAGGGTTGGGGGGTATAAAACGAAGCAGAAGGTTTAAAAACACCTTAGGGCTGCACACCTTATTTATGGGAGAGTTGTTTTACACCTGAGGTGTCACAGCCTGGGCAGGCAGCAACCCTGCCAGGGGCAAGCAGAGAGCAAAGCAGCAGCAAACCAATACCCTGCATTAGCAGCTTGGAGAAGAGAATAACTTCATGTACAGCAACTTTATTAATTTTTTTTTAATTTTTATTTTTAAATTTTAAATTAGAACTGCAGCTGCCAATAGGATGTCTTGGTTGTATTTTGGTTTTTACGGGGGAAAACGATTCGCTTTTCAAACTGAAAGGCACTGCTGCCAACAGGGCTTCACCCTGGGTGAGCTGGAGGGCCTGTTGCAGAAGGTGCATTTTGTTTTTATGCTGTGGTGTGCATGGTTTACAGAGCCTAGTTGCATTTTCTTTGTGTATACTGTTAATTGTATATAGGGGCTATACAAATATCGGGATGCCATTTTGTCATAACCATATCAAAATTCGACTGATTTCCACTGTAGACTCTGTCTTACTGTGTAGATTTACAGGCCAATCCACTGACTTTGATTGTGTAATTTAACAATAGAACTGATAAATAAAATTTAACTACAGTCTTCTGACTTTCATGTGATTATTTCTTTATCTGATGGTGCCTTGGGAATCGTGCAGGCCAGAATGAACAGGAACTTTGACACAAATGAAATAGCAGTTGGCAGGTAAGTAATGAGTTTAAATCCCAGCTTTTCTGAAGTGCATTGAAGCTGCAGCTTTCAAGGGTGAAGCCACTTTGGACTTTCATTGGTTCAAGAGTTGTTCCAGAGCTTTTCACTGCTTTCCTGGGCAGTCTTCCTCACAAAAACAAGCTGTGGTTTCTGGTGATTTGAAATGTGATTGTCAATGGTCTGCAGCATTATTAATGGATTGTTTCTATGTGTGTATGAGAATGATTTCTTTCTTTCTCCTTTACATGATACTCTCCATTTTTGTTCCAGCTGGCCCTGGAAGGTGCTGCCTAGGTGCTGACTTCCAGGGCATCCTGCTGTATCCCTTCCTGGGACATTTTAAAACACAAAAAAGCCAAACCAGCCTCAGTTTCAAAAGCAGGTGAGAATGAATTGAGCATAATGCCCCAGATGAGCTAGAAATCATGGGGTTTTTTCCCATTTGGATGGAGGCCTTTTTTCATGGTGGTTGTAAAAGATCAGCAGGCTTGCAGGACACACAGCAGGGCAGTAGACCTGCAAGTTGTCCATAGGACACCTTGCCTTGACTTCCTTGAATTTCCCTGTGAGGACAGAGGTGCCCCTTTTCATGGTGGGTGACCCTGGCTGGATGTCAGGTGCCCACCAAGCTGCTCAGTCTCTCCCTTCCTCAGCTGGACAAGGGGGAGGAAATAGAACTAAAGGTTTCTGGGTTGAGATTAGGACAGGGAGGGACCATTCATTGATGGCCATCATGGGCAAAACTCAACTTGGGGAAATAAATTTATTACCAATCAAATGAGAGTAGGATAATGAGAAATAAAACCAAATCTCCATCTGGACATTGAGCTGTTGACCATGACCCTCTGGATGTGACCATCCACCAAATGGGTTGATTCATTTTGTCCTGCAAAAGGCTGGGAAGTTGATAGCAGTGAAACCTGCAAAGTGCTCTATTTGGGGTTAGTATTTTGGGACTAAAACTTAGTCAAAAGGTACGTGGGACATCAGGATTGTTTGAAGTGAAATTCTCAGCTGATTTTTGTCAATGAACTTTTCAACCTCTTTATATAACATGATATATTTAGTGGGCTGTAATACATGTTTGCTTCCTATTATGCCTCTTTTCTTGAGGAAAAGTGAACTAATGGGCTTTCTTTTTCATGTAATTTTTAAAATTAGCACATTATGCAAAATGATCAGAGATGTGAATAAGACCGGATAGATGCCAGAGCAATTGGTGTTTCAGCTCATGAAATCACAAGGAAAGAAGGAAGAAAAATGGATACATCTCTTCTCTTTAATTTCAGCCAGGAATAATTGAGGAAACATCTCAAATGGATGCAAAGCTTCAGCTGCAGACCTGGGCTGCCAGGCTGGCCCACGTGCTCCTGGGGAGGCACAGAGGGCAGCTCCAGGTGGAGAGGCCATCTTTACAGAGACATCTTCTGCAAGAGAAATGTTTTCCAAGCAGGTGGTAGATTTAAATCTTTTGCTTGCAAATACATCCCTGTCTCTATGAAGGGTTTAGGTGGAGCTGGGGATGGTTTAGTTGCTGGTGGACCCTGCCAGGGTGGGCAGCGCATGGGAGGGAAAGGAGCAGTAGTGGGTCCTTCCCACTGCATGTGGGAATGGGGAGGCTGGGACAGCTGGGATCTCCTGCCTCCCAAGGTGGCCTTAGCAATGACAAACCAAGTCATGATGGTGAACAAAGGTGGGATCTGGGCTCTGGAGTCAGCTGGCACCATCTGTCCTTCCCATCCCACTGCCAGCCGTGGCTCCTGCGTGGTGAGGAGGAACCGCCTGCGCAAAACCTTCCCGAGCAAATAGCACAACATCTGAACTCTTACCTATGAAATTCAATTCTGGATTTCCTGAAGCAATCTCCCTGTTCCACCAGCCTCATCAGGGAGGAGTGTAATTTCATTTAATCCATTTCTTGAGTTCAGAGTCAACAGCGTTGCCATCATGCTAATATTGCTGCTCTGCTGTCTCTAGAGACCGAGTGACGAGTTTAGACCTGAAATCAAATTTGGCTCTAAGCTTCAAGAGGATCTAGCAGACAATTTACCTGTGGTCTCTACCCAGAAGCTTTGTCATGCAGCTTAGCTCTGCCAGCGTGCATTAGGCCAGGCAGGTGAGTTTAGATGGCTTCTTGTTTTGGGAGCAAGAAATGCTGAAACAATATATATGCAAAGCATCTTTGTAGTGAGGCAGAGTGTTCATTTTCAAGACAATATGACTGCTGCCTTTTGGTACTCTTTTTGAATTTGTATCTTCCCTGTATGACTGCAGATAAGGTTTTCACTTGCAAGGATGTTTACCAGCAGTTGTTGACATAAACCTCTACATAAGCTGTATAAACTATAGAATATATAGAGTTTTTTTTCAAATAGATGTATTTTTCTGATGGGCGTTCATAGACAGACCACATGGCAATGACTCCTGGCATGGCATTTACTTGAGCCCTCATTCTCCTCATGAAGTCTCAGCTCCAGAGATTTGGGGGCCAGTGGCACAAACATTCATTTTGCAAGTGAATAGTAAATTTTCTGATAAATTAAGTTTGCGATTGATGAAAGCTACAGTAAACAGAGCTGAGTTCAAGGGCTATTTAGGCCAAATGAAAGGTGAGATTTCAGAACAACTCGCGTGTTTTGAGCATCTGAGCTCACATTTCTGTTATTGTTGCTCCTTGAAATTACGTTATCTTTTTAAACCCTCACTTTAAATTGTAAAGGTGATGAGTAAATTGTTATTTGCGAGGAGTTCAAATGATCCACAAGCTGAATCAATCCTTTGGTTCCAGGTGAAATGGTTTAGCCCAACCTGGGGTGGATCTTTTCCTTTCAAAAAGCCTTACAAATGT